CGTTAGGAAAGCTTGTTCCATCACATTTGGGAAGATCATTGTTGTCTAAACCAGACATCAAAATGGGAGAAATTCAAGTTAGTTGATTTAAGTCCTTAATATAACACCCAATATGAAATATTAAGGCTAGGACCCAACAAACTATTTTATAACCTGGAAGAGGGATGCCGTAATCCAAGCTATAAAATATTTGAAGGTAGGTGAATGACGATTCACCAATTTCCGCCAAGATAAACGAAATGTATAATTAGGTTTTAATCGGTTATGAAACTCCTAGATTCTTTTGAGATTCATTGAACTTTTCAATGGCATGTTTCAATCTCGAGTGTGCCCTTCAGGTTTTGTGACTGGGATGCCGAGGATCACAAAACAAGGTGTGAAGTAACCATGCAAATATACATGGTACCCTTAATATTTACCCCTCAATCGATGTGCCGGTTAACCACACACGCTCCACCGATACTATGATAAACATTAAGTTACCCTTTGCCTACCTTGTTAAGTCCAGGTTAGTGTGCCGGTTAACCACACACGCTCCACTAACGGCTTAAAACAGTGCAAAGTGTAATTTCGTGGATTAGCACCTTGTTCACATTTTCCTAAGTAACTAAGATTGGGAATTTATAAGTGTTTAGTTACTTGGTATTTATCATTAATACTATTAATGAAGGGAGAATTATAGTCCTTGTCCTACATGTTCGGCTAACGACCCTCCACCGGTCAAGGAAACGGTGGGTGAGAGTGGACACCCATTAAACTGTCATTTTATAGGCAGTAACCTTATACCCCCTTATAGACCGGCTTCGTGAATGAGGCCTACTAATGGTAAGACGACTTTTGCTCTTATATATATATATATATATATATATATATATATATATATATATATATATATATATATATATATATATTATTAACTTATAATATTATAATAGTATAAGGGTTGAATTTTAACTTTTAAAATTCTAAGGGCTTAATTTGGAATTAAAGTATTCATGAAAGAAAACCTTTCAAATTTCAAAACTTGATGGCAAGTTTTGTAAACTTTCAAAAGTTTTCATTTCTCATAACTTATGAGTTTTAATTAAGTTTTTAAAACTTTAATGAAGAGACTCTTGGACATCCATAACTTGAGGACAAGTTATGGAGTTCATAAACCAAAAAGACTTTTCACTTTTGTAACCTATGTATTTTAATGAAACTTTAAAAGAAATGACTTTTGGTAATCCATAACTTGAGGACAAATTATGGATTCCATTAAAACACATTTAGATCAAGAATTAACTAACAAACAATTTTGTAAATAATTCCTATGATCTATTAAAACTCATAAGTCTATGAACAATCATATCAACAATTTCAAGAGTTACATGAACACACATAAACTTGAAATTTTGATAACAACTCTGAAATTGGTTTACCATAATCATTACCACATCAAAAACAGGTTTTATAAGTCCAAAACAGTTTAAGGTAATGATTCTAGACCAATTCCAGCACCAAAACTCGAAGATATGTTGTCAGGGGTTCCAACTCGTCGAGTGCATGAAGCAACTCGGCGAGTTGGGAGTTTTGCCTTGGACTCGTCGAGTCCATGAGTGAACTCGGCGAGTCCACTGCCCAGACAGCACAAAAACTTTGATTTTTCAGCAATTGCATCAAGTATAAAGGAAAACAAGCCTAGGCTCTGATACCACTGTTGGGTTTTGAGCATTCTAACACTCCTATGGTGTACATGCAACCCTATAAACCTTGGATCTATGTTTTCTCTATTATACATGCAAATATTAAATATTCCAACGTTTCATCCTAACTAGCATATTATGAACCATCTATAATACAAAGTTCTAGTTAGATGGCATACCTTTTGATGTAGCTTGATGTCTTCAAGCTTTAAGAGATTAGCCCCAATAGTGTGGAAGCCTCAAGTGGAATCACAAATCACCAAAGCACCTTGGAAGAACTTGAGAGAATATGTATGCCCACTAAAATCGGCCCACTCTTCTTTTCAAACACTAGTACCCATTTTGTGAGCCAAGGACCCCTTTATATATTATGGAGGGTTAGGGTTACATCCATGTAAACCCTAATACCCATGACCTTTCATTTACATAGGATGCATGGGTTAAAAGCTCCATGGACTACCCATGAAAGCTTAGCCCAACCTCAATGAACTTGGCCCATTCCATATATATATATATATATATATATATATATATATATATATATATATATATATATATATATATATATATATATAAGAGTCCATATTTAATTAGTTCCTTTTGATCACTTAATTAATTCTAAATTAATTCTTGATCAATACTAATTAAATAATATGATTCCATATTAATATATTAGAACTTATAATATATTAATATAAATCATAAATATACTATTCTCAAAAGACTATCCATATAAATTTTGCCGGTGAAGTGCAACCCAAATGGACCATGCCGGGTCGGGTCAAGTACATACCAAATATAGTTATGGACTTAGACATTAATCCAACAAATACTACCTTCCACACCAACCTGTAATCAACCCAACTCCTCCTAGGATCCCAATTCACACATACTCTATCTCTCACAAATAACAGACTACTCTCTTAGCAGACCCCTCATATGCTCATCTAGGTACCTCTCCTAGATTATTACTCGACTCAGAACTTTTTCTAAGTGATTCGTGCTAGATACTCCTACTCAGCACATACTCAAGGCAACAACAAATAGCAGCAACTCCTAGGCTAAGGCATCACAAATCAGGCAACACTAGCCCTAAATATGAAATACCTAGCCTATCATCTAGCATGCATCCCTAACATCTCATAAATATCTCATAACACAAATAGTGAGGGTATTTTGGGAAATCACCGTTCAGGAACTAGCTGATTGTACACACTGCTCCAACTCGTTTTCTCTTAAAACTCATGCTCGTTTTTAGAAAAATCATTTCTTTCGAATTTTTTTCTCAAATCCTCAGTTTGAGTCCAGACACACCCGAAGGTATATCGGAATCCCTCAAACCAAGACTCTGAAAACAACTTGTAACACCGTAAATTTTCAAAAAAAAAAAATTCATTTAAAAATCACATTTAATCTCATTAACACAATCTCATAATTTCCAAAAATGTCAAATTATCAAAATCAGATGTTTATAAGTTGATTAAATCCCAATCGAGGATCCTCCAAAAGATATCTTCAACTTGTATGTACAATTAAGCCGGTGCCTTCCCGTGATCCTGAGAAGTACCTGAAACACATAACACATAACACGATAAGCACGAAGCTTAGTGATTTCCCCAAAATACCACACACATCTCATTAGCCTCTCATGGCTATACTGGAATAAGACCCTCCGGTCAATGTGTCTCAGTGGAACCCTCCGGTCCCACAACTCGAGTGGACCCTCCTGTCCTAACTCAGTAAGCTCAGAATAATACACATCATAAATCACAAAGACATAATGCAGGATATCACAATACTCAATATAAGCACATAAGACCGTCCGGTCACACATAAATCACCACTCTAGGTAAGTATAGTGAGAAGACTCGCCTTGTAAGCAAGCAAATAAATCTCGTACGCGAATCACCGATCTAGCCTCCGCCTAAAATATATAATAAGTATCTCTAATTAACACTACATTCACGATTCTAAATAAACCCAAGGCTATTCTCTATCCCTCTAACTCTTGCAATGGGTAGAAGACCATTCTACCCCTCCATGGTCTCCATACTTCCTGCCTTGACCAAACCCTAAGGTCAACTAAAGTCAACACTCGAGTCAACTGTCCATGTTGACCCGACCCGTCGAGTGCACCTAGTTGAATCGTCGAGTCCCCTTGTTCCTTCATAAAAGTCGCGAAAACCAAACCTAACTCGTCGAGTTGTCTCATCAACTCGCCGAGTTACTGATGTCCAGACTCATCGGGGAAAACCCTAGCCGACTCGTCGAGTCAGCTCATTGACTCGGCGAGTCCATTCAGTCTATATTCTTATTCAGACGTTTAAAGGCAAATCTACGACTCTAAACTCTAGATCTAGCATCCCAAGGCTCGAATGTCACGTAAAGTTGCGACCTTTTACGTTCATGCATGGCATAATAGGCTCATAATGCCAATACAAACTTCAACAAGGGTTAAATGCACAAAAGCTTGTCTCTAGCTCAATAAAGCTCGGATCTTTGGGCTCTCAAGTCCTCCTAGAGTCCAGATCTGAGGTTTGAACCTCATAATATGCTCAAATAACTCATTGTCAAAAGATGGATGGGAGAAAACCCTAAAAACCTCCCTAAACTAAGATCTCACAAAGGAAAGGTCAATATAGAAACTTTTTACCTTTGCACTGAAGCTAATCACTGCAGAACTCTGGATCTACAACCCCTCCTTGATCAAACACGCCAAGCTCTCCAAATCTCCTTCCAAAGATGCACAAAACCACTCAATTTAACCTCTCTCTCTCTCTCTCTCTCAAATCAATCTGATCGATTAGGGTTTCACACAGGGTAGTGGGGTGGCTGGCGAGTCGACTCTCTGACTCATCGAGTTGGTCATTAAACCCACGTGGTCAATCCGAATCCGACTCTACTCGACGAGTTGGGCATACAACTCGTCGAGTTACTCAGTTAAACCCCAAAAAGTAAATACATAATATTATACTTGGGAGTCGAGATGTCACATGGTTGGTATCTTTTTAAAATTTAACGAAATTAGAAGATACCCTCAAATGGTCAAACTTGATTGCATGTTTTATGGTAGGGGCAATATCATTATCATTTAAGGACCTTAACATACGATAAACGATTTTTCACACATAGTAATAATGCAAAAAACAAGAACAAAATATTTAACATAGTTCACACAAGCAAATTGATTGCTACTTGTGTGTGTGTGTGTGTGAGAGAGAGAGAGAGAGAGAGAGAGAGAGAGAGAGAGAGAGAGAGAGAGAGAGAGAGAGAGAGAGAGAGAGAGAGAGAGAGAGAGAGATTTATTAATGACTACCAAATTACAATTGTTTATCTTAGGCTACAAACTGAATGAATCTATTTATTCCAGCATGCGTTCATCTAAATTCTGTCAATAAGAAAAGCCGGAACTATGATAAAACTAACCCTTGATGCATTTCATGTCGAATCTGAGTTCTAACCAGGCTTAGTCTCATGAGCAACTATGAGTTAAAAGGGAGAATTAAGCTCCACAACTCAGCAAATATTTCTAAAGATATTTTAAACATGTTAGAAAATAAAATCATAAATTCCGAAGGAGAACACAACAAAATTTGAATTGCATCCTTCAATGTTGTGCATAAGCTATCCTTTTAATACTTCATTTCGCTTTAGTCGTCCAACAAACTGCAATCAATATTGTTTAAGCAAGTATTTAATTACATTAATTAAATTAGATATATGCATGACATATAAACAAAATTGCGGAATAGTTAATACCTACTTGTACAAATACGATGCGATGCCCAAAATTATACATAATAAGATGATGTCGATTATAAAGTTCCGTGTAGACCTCACCTGCATGTACACATAAACACATGCATCAAAGATCTACCACCAATTTTCCATAAAAACTTCAAGCATAATTAAGAAATTTGAAGTCCAATAATAAAAATGACTAATTACCTTTAAAAGAGTCTGCCTAAGTTTCATATTCGTGTTTCTAATATCACTTGTTACTTTGTCAACCTTATCTTCGATTTCATCCATTAAGGGGACTTGCTTATCTAATTCCTGCATAAGTTTTTATGTATTTAGCTAATATAGTTTATTAACATATGATGATGAAAAGGTAAAATAAGGATGGCTAATTAATTGATCAATTAAAGAACCTCGTTCATTTCATGAGCTAAATTCTTTAGTGTATCAAGACCTTCTGATATTACGTTTAAGCCTTCATCCTGTTTTATTTTCCTCATTTCATACTCTGATCTAAACTGGTTTGATTCTTCGCTTCGTTGGAAATAACTATCTCCAAAGATACGATCTACACTTACTGGATGATGTGTTGAAATTAAATTAAATAAACATAACAAACATAAAATAACAAGGATCCATGCCATGCAACCTGTATCAAACTTAATCTTATTTGTAGCAGATGTAGACGCATTTGACAGTAATGTGGTACTGGTTCCATCAGGTATTTCTCGAATCCTCTCTGGTAGTGCAAGAACCACATCACAACGAGCTGTTAATTCCTCTCTTGATAACCCTTTCACCTGTACGTAACTCCATTAATGTGTGTCATCGATCTTTGTTGTAATTGTTTAATAGAAGAAAAGAAAGACAATTCGAGACCTTCTTTTTGGCAAGCTTTTCTAGTTTGGGTACTTCTTCCATCAATCGAACTTTCATTCTTCTAATCTCAGCGTTCATGGCGACTACAGTAGCTCTATTTGTCTCCATCGATGCCTTTTCTGATTTCTAAAGAGAATAGACGAGATCAAAACTCAAAACTGGTACTCAATTGAGACGATAATTATAAAGTAACGCAAAATAAATTAGCGATTAATTGTACACGTAAAGCAGCTTCAATTTGAGAATCTAAGGAAGCGAGTAGAGAGGCAAATGCATCATCTCCATAAGCGTTGAGCTCACGTTGCTTATCAATGTCGTACTTTTCATATTTCTTGCATATTGCATCGACACGAAACACGATATCAATCAGACTCATAATGTTTTTAAGGAAAAGTGGCGTTTGATTGAGAAAGGAAAAAGAAAAAGAAATTTTTATAGTTAACTCCCTTGTTTCTCAATATGTGATCACCCGTAAAAACACAAACATTCTCCGGATGATGAGGACAAGGAGGGACACTTCTTCTTTCTTTTTCTTTTAAGTTTTAACACTGAATTTTTAATTTCCTATATTTTGAAAAGCTAATGCAATTTTATTGGCGCACCTATACAACCTAAAAATATACTAATTATTATTAGGGATCGACTAAAAAGACCCTTAATCAGTCTCTTACGTCACGTCTTGACTCTTATCATTTCAAATTGACTTTCTTTATGTTTTTGATCTTCTTTTCCTATTTTACAATAATTACAAAATCAACTTTTATAATTTGAATTATTATTTTTTGTTTTATTATCCAAATAATCATATTAGTATGACATTAAAACAGATTGAAATAAATATATTTTATAATAATATGAATTCTTTATTTTTAACATTCTAAAATTAGTAATAATGTAAATGTTTTTTTCATGTCCGATAAAATAAAAATATTACATCATATGAATCAAATAACTATAATATAAAATTGAAAAAGTTAAGGAACATGTTAACATCAGTATTGTACATGTACCTCACTGGTTATATATATA